AAAATTTATTTATTTTTTATGTGGTGCTGAGGATTGAACCCAGTGCCTCACCTGTGCTAGGCAAGTGCTCTACCACTGAGCCACAACCCCAGCCCACTCTTTTTAAACCTTTTAATTCTGCAAATTTGTTCTACCAAACCTCTGGGAGCACCATTGGGAATACCATAGATTTCTAGCAGGTGAGGTGGAATCTACACCAATCACTCCCTGGACTGAATAGCCATTTATTAAACTTGTGTAATGTTTCATAAATAGGAAAATGATATGATTAAGGAAAATGTCCATTCATCTGAAAGCATTGCTGAATTCATGGCAATATTTTGTCATCAGGTTTCTTCTTCAACAAGTGGATGCTAAGTGTAGAACACTGCCTGAGATGGAATGAGCAGTACTCTAGGACAGTCTGTGTAGGTCCAGTGTGGGCACCAGCGACACTACTACATATTACCAGAGGGTCTTCAGCCATTTTCTATTTATCTACCTTTATGGGGAGGCAGGAAAAAGGGGGACTACAGTCACCTCTGAAAATTGAGTCAACTCCCACTCCTTTCAGCCTCTTCTTGGCCACCTGAGGTAGAGAGTTTAGAGATTGAATTCAGAGTTCATAGATGAAGTTTCTTCAAATTATATGGGTAAGTATAGGTAAGATCTATGTTCAGGAACAGAAAATTTGGAGTTTCCTGGTTAAAGCAAAATCATTTCCTTAGGATAGACTGGAGACAGAGGAGGAGAGGCAGGTCAGGAGCGGTCCCGTGCCTTCTGGGTACATGTTAGCTAGTCCTATGTTAGGATGCCTGTGAGACTTGCAGGTGACTGACAGGTTTGGGGTAAGAAGAGAGATCTGGGGTAGATATTTAGATTTGGAAACCATCCATGTACATGTGGTAATTGACAACATTGGGGATGCGTGAGATAGCCTGGAAGTATATATAAGCAAAATGAGAGTCAAGAGAGAGACCCCAATGTGTAGGGGACAGATAGAGAAAGAACAGCCGGCAAAAGTGGTAGAAATGTTGATGTCAGAGAGGCAGAAAGCCCCAGAGACAAATGCTGTGGTAGAGCAATAAGGAAATTTTTATTCAAAAATCAGACCTAGCAGCTGTGTAACTTTGGGCAAGTTTCTTAACTTCTGTTTCCTTGTCCCAACAGGAAGATTGTAAATATCTGCTTCAGAGGATTGTTGTGAGGGTTAAATGGGAATGGAACAACACTCCTGGTCTTATCCAGCAGAGAATGAGTGCTTTGTAGGGCACAGGAAGACTACTGAGGTTATGATCCCTCTAAGAGTTAAATGTATTATCAGAGTTATAAAATGAGCATAATAATTACCTGTCTTGTGGGAAATTATTAACAGTGTCAAGAAAAATACCAACTAATGTACCTGTTAGTGCCTATGCTTTAGATATAAGAATCTAGCATTTGGTTATAAAAATCAGGTTGCATTGTTTCCCTCCCCCTCTTGGCAACACTAAGGATCAAACCCAGCGGCCCCTTACCACTGAGCTACATCTTCACCTCTTTTTATTTTTTATTTTGAGATGTGGTCTCTGTAAGTTGCCAAGGCTTGCCTTGAACTTGTGATCCTCCTACCTCAGCCTCCCAAGTGGCTGAGATTATAGATGTGATCCAAGGCCAGCCAAAAACATGTCCTTCTCATTTACTGTTTGATATCGTTCTATTACCAGAGGGTCTTCAGCCGTTTTCTACCTATCTACCTTTGTGGGGAGGAAGGCCAAACACAGGATCATATTATGCCTCTAAAATCTGCTGCCAAGCCCTTTCTTCTGGAGGAACTTCCTCTATTAGAAAATAAAAGAGGTTGGGCTGGAGATGTGGCTCAAGCGGTAGTGCGCTCACCTGGCATGCGTGCGGCCTGGGTTCGATCCTCAGCACCACATACAAACAAAGATGTGTGTCCACCGAAAAAACTAAAAAATAAATAAAATTCTCTCTCTCTCTCTCTCTCTCTCAAAAAAAAAAAAAAAAAAAAGAGGAGATCACAGAACATCCCTTTCCCCTAGAATACTAAATGGAAATGTTGAGATATTCATACTTTGTGTTCAACTTATTCAAAATAAAACTATTTTAACTCTAAGATTTCATCTCACACCAGTCAGAATGGCAGTTATCAAGAATTCAAATAACAATAAGTGTTGGTGAGGATGTGGGGGGAAAGGCACACTCATACATTGCTGGTGGGACTGCAAATTGGTGCAACCAATCTGAAAAGCAGTATGGAGATTCTTTAGAAAACTTGGAATGGAACCACCATTTGACCCGGCTATCCCACTTCTATACCAAAGGACTTAAAATCTGCATCCATGGTAATGCAGCTACATCAATGTTTAGAGCAGCTTCATTTGCAATAGCTAAACTGTGGAAGCAATCTAGATGTCCTTCAATAGATGAATAGATAAAGAAACTGTGGTGTATATATATATATATATATATATATATATAATGGAATATTAATCAGCATTAAAAGAGAAAAAATTATGGCATTTGCAGGTAAATAAATGGAGTTGGAGAATATCATGCTAAGCAAAATAAGCCACTCCCAAAAAACCAAAGGCCAAATGTTCTTTCTGATAAGTGGATGCTGATCCATTTTGGGGGGTGGGGCATGGGAAAAACTGAGGAACTTTTGATAGGATCAAGGGGAGGGAAGGGTAGGGAGGGTGAATGGGGCAGGAAAGATGGTGGAATGGGATGGACATCATTACCCTAGGTACATGTGTGACTGCACATATAGTGCAACGCTACATCGTGTACAATCAAAGAAACGAGAAGCTGTCCTGCAATTGTGTACAATGAATCAAAATGCATTCTGCTGTTATACATACCTAATTAAATTAATTAATTAAAAAATACTAACGGTATCCTGGGAAAATCACATACAAGTATTAAGAATTTATAATATTAATAAAAGGTATAAAGTGAAAAAATTGCCTGGGGCAGTGGTGCATACCTTCGGCCCTAGGTACTTGGGGAGGGCTAAAGCTAGAGGGTCAAGAGTTCAAATCCATCTTGGACACACCAGACCCCATCTTAGAAAGAAGAAAGGGAAGGAGGAAGTTTTTCTTTCCCTGCATCCAATCCCATTCCCAGGAAGTAACTACTACTAATATTTCTTGTCTGTTGTTCTTAGTTTCCGCCATGACACGGTGAGCCTTTTGCTATACATTCTATGCTTTGATTGCTTTTTCTCATTTAGCATTATTTCTTTTTATATCAGCATAGACCACTCTTCTTGTGTTTTAAAATAGCTGCTCAGTGTTCCTTTTTATTATGTGGCAATTTATTTAAACAGCCACCCTTTGATGAACACTTAGATTATTTACAGTTTGTGCTGTTGTAAATACTACTATAATGAATATCATGGAATACGGATAAGTTTTTTCAAGTTCACAGCATAGGGTAAATTCCTATTGGATGACAGAGTGTACCTCTAAGTTTTGTTATAATTCAATAATCCTTCAGAGGCTCTTCCTGCAGCATGTATGAGGTCGTCCCCAAACTAAAACCAATGCCACATTGACTACAAAAGTTACTGATGATATAATAGATCAAAATGATTTCTAATTTAGTAAGTTCTTTAACTGAAAGTTTGAGTGTTTTTATCATTGGCTATTTTAACTTACATTTCTGCTCCTGCTCATTACTCATTTTATCTCTTTTCTACAATTCAAAAAAAAAAGCTTACTGATATTATTGGTTTGTAATGACTTTTAACATGAGGAATGTTAATCCTCTGTCTTTCATCTTGGCAAATACCTTTTCCAAGTTCCTCTTTGTATTTGATATTTGTATATAAGACCTTTATTTCCGTACATTCAGATTTATCAATTTTTTTCCTTTCTAGTCTCTCTAATGTAGGATTTAAAGAATTCAAACATGTCTTCTCTAGTAGTTTACTCATTACATTAGAATCCACCTGAAGTTAATAGGGCTGTCCTTGAGGATTAGGATACTACCAACTCCTCCTTCTCTCCTCCCCATCACTCACCGGCCTCAGCACTCTGCACACCTCACGGAGCATCTGCTCCTGGTTCTCCACGGAGCACAGCACAGTGGTGCAGACCACCACATCCACAGAACTGTCAGTCACCTGGTGCATGTTCTCCCCAGCAGCCACCAAGAAGCGCTCGAACTGCAGGTGTCTGTTCTCTGCAATGCTCTTGAATAAGAACTTCTCAAAGTTGGGGTTGGGATCAACACAGGTCACTCTGCATCCAGGGGGATAGAACTTGAAGTTGGTCCCAGTGCCAGAGCCCACCTCTAGCAGGGAGAGCTTCCCGGAGGGGCCCGCAAAGTCCTGCAGTTTGCTGAAGAGCTCCTGCTTCTTGCCTGCCATCTGTTCATTGTATGTTGTAGAAAATTTCATCATGTAGTAGGGAAACCATTTTTTGGAAATCTGGTTCCACAAGCCCAGAAATTTCAGCAGGTACAGGGGAAATGACAGGATGCGGACGGCCAGCTGGAGGATAAAGACAGTGAACGCCATCTTAGAAGAGAAACAGCAAGCAACAGTTGAAGGCCTGGATCCTTTAAAATTATAAAACCAAGGCTGCTGGCAAAAGTCCAGACCAGTCAGCTGCAGAGGAGGAACTGACTGTGCTGGAAAAAAATTCAGCTCAGTACAAATCGTGGGCAAGAGGCCAGTTTTTGCTGAATTTTTGGCAGAAGTTGATTCGTAGCTGAGTTTTCGTGAAGTGAAATGAGAATGTTCCCAGCTTTTCTGCAGAAGTTGGTTGCGATCCTTTATTCCAAATCCAATCGAATCCTGCTGCCCCTTCTCTGCGAGTCTCCTGCCCGGTGTTCTCTGTGCAGGGTACTTTCACTCCACCCTGGTGCTCCCATGTCCTTTACAAAGGAACAAGTCTGTCAGTGGAGCCTGGCAAGCCAAACATGAGAATACTGCTATTCCTGTCGGGTGGATGGAGGTGACTGAGGAACAAAGAACCAAGCACCCGGAGGAACAAAGAACCAAGCACCCGGAGGAACAAAGAACCAAGCACCCGGAGAAACACTGATCAGGCACTGACCCTGTCAACCAGCGGGGTCTCCTGGCCAATCCTGGATCTTAGCCAGCTCCCCCTGCCCCCTCCCCAACTCCAGTAGGGCTAGGGACTCTAAAAACCCCATTTCCTGTCCCAAACTCTCCTTTCCTGCCCTAAGCCCAATAAAAATTCCAGTCCAGTGGAGCACCCGCGCTTCTCCTTAGACCCTCTTCTTACCCGCTCTGTTGGTCTGAGAGTTCCACCCAGAGCGAAATCTCAATAAAGCCTCCTTCAGCAGCCTTTTAAATCTGCCTCCTTTTGGTTTCGGCTGCCTGACCTTACAATCCCCCCTTCCCCCTCCTTTCCAACTCTAAAGCCCTTTTTTGTTTGTTTGTTTGTTGTTTGGGTTTTATTTGTATTGTTTTGTTTATGTCCCTCAGCCTGGCCTCAAACTTACATCCTCCTGCCTCAGCCTTCCAAGTAGCTGGAGGTACAGGTATAGACAACCATGCCCAGCTCTGAACCCCCCACTCACCTTTTTTATTCCCTGATGCTGGGGATTGAACCCAGGGCCTTGTGCCAGCAAGGCAAACACTCTACTAATGGAGCTATAACCCTAGCCCTCCAAATCCTATTTTAAAAAGAACCTGAGAAGCCAGGCTTGCCTGGTCACAGTCAACAAGAATTCCCCCTTTTTACTGTGGTGGGCTGAGGCTCTCAGATGTTAATTAACTCAAATGCTAATTTTGAAGGACAAATCTTAGTCTTCAAACTGTGCTTGACTATTGTGTAATTCTACTAATTTAGATAAAAGGAGCCCTCACAATATTCATATTTGGGAGCTTATAGGATTCAAAAAATAGTTGCAAACAACTATTTTCAACAAGAAAGCTTAGACTTTAGGGTGGTTAGGGAACACAAATTTTTAAAGTATATAATGGTATCATTTTTTTAAAACTGGGAGATGGAAGAAGGACTCTTGTTTCATTCTTACACCTTATACATACTTTACAAATATTGTACCTATTTAATGTTAAGAGATATTTGGAGATGAAATACACACTATTTAATGTGTACAGTTTGAGGAGTTTATATGCCTATGAAACCATCAGTCAAGAAACTTCAATCAAGATAAAGAAACATGGGGCTGGGGTTGTGGCTCAGGGGTGGAGCACTCGTCTTGCACATGGGTTTGATCCTAAGAACCACATAAAAATAAATAAAGTTGTTTGTCCAACTACAACTACAAAAAATAGATATTAAAAAAAAAAAGATAAAGAAACATGGGCTAGGGAGATAACTCAGTGTTAGAGCTCTTGCCCAGCATGCTCGAGGTCCTCAATTCTATCCATAGGGTGGTAGGATTGTTGTAGGGACAGACAAAGCAAGGCACTGAAGATAGCAGGAAACAGTTTTATTTGGCTGCAGCCAGGTTCAGAGGGCACAGCTTTTGCTGTAATCAATCAACCCCTGAACCCCGAGTTCAGGCAGTTTCAGAACTTTATACCCAGCATGAAAGGGGAAGGGTTCAGAAGTTCACAGTCTTCAGTAGTTCATATAAAAGCAGGTTTTTTCCTTTCACTGTTCTGGGCAAGTTAGTTAACCTTTCAAGGACAACACCTGAGAAGGGGAGAACTTCTTTTCCCCTTTCTTTCCTCCCCCTGCCAGCTGTTCCCATGGAGCCCAATTAGTAACTTTTCTTATCTTAAAAATGTAGACATCTCTGTGAAACCCAGCTCAAGGCCAGAGGCCTTGTTTGCACATTTCTACAAACTACTATACTGGATACGTTTGTGAAAAACCAGTAAGGGGGTGTCCAGTACCTGGAGTGCTGATTTCTTCCTGGCCAGTAGCCAAGTAAGATAGGGCAACATGAAAATAGGAAGTTTATCTACATTGAACTCTTTGGCAGAAACTCTTTTGCTGACAGTCCCAAAACCAGCCATGGTGAAGATTTCTGGAGAAGCCCAGTTAAGACTTTCCTGTGGAGAAAGTGGGTGCCACTTCAGGATGGTAGAAGAAAGGTGAAGGAACATATCTACCCATCACCTGCAAGCTTCCTCTTGTTCCTTTGTGATCCTTCCTTCCTCCCTTCCTCATCACAAGGCAATCATGTCAGTAGAGATTAATTTGCTTTTTCTAGAATGTTATGTAAATTGAATTATATAGTATGTATTTGGGGGAGGTTGATTTTTATCACTCAGTATAATTAATTTAAGCATTATCCTGGTTGCTGTGTGTACCAATGGATTGCCATTTAAAGGAATAAATATAGCTGCCATTTTGTAAGACCTTGGAGCACATTTTCATGATTGCTTGAATCTGCTTTCCCATATTCCAATATATCTGACGGGGAGTTAATATCTGAAATATATAAGAAGTTTCAAAAACTTAATAGCAAAAGTGAAACAAAAAACAATTTAAAATAGGCAGTAGCTCTGAATAGATATTTCTCTAAACAAGTCAGACAAATAACCAACAGATACATGAAAAAAAAATGTTCAACATCAATAATTATCAGAGAATGCAAATCAAATTCATGTAAATGAGACATCACCTCACTTCTGTAAGAATAACTATTATCAAAAAGACTAAAGATAACAAGTGCTAACAAGAATTTTGGAGAAAAGGAACCCTTGCATGCTATTAGTAAATTTTAAATTATTACTACCATGATGGAAAATGGTATGGAAGTTTTTTTAAAAAAAAGGAACTGTCACTCCTAGGTATACAACCAAAGGAAATGAAATCACTATTTGATGAGATATATGCACTCCTGTGTTTATTGTTGCATTATTCATAATAGCCATGAATATAAACAAAGTGAGGTTCCATCAACTAATGAATAAAGAAAATGTCACACACACACACACACACACACACACACACAGTTTCTATTCAACCATAGAAAGAATGAAGTCCTTTCATTTGCAACAATACAGATGGAGATAATTAAATCAAGTGAGGTCAGCTGGACACAGAAAGATGAGCACTATGTGATCTTACTCATATGGAATGTAAAAAGGTTGATAGAGATTGGGGGTAGAATAGTAATTACCAGAGGCTGAAGAGAGTTGGTGGGCAGCATGGAAGGGGGGAGGATGATCAATGTTTTGGTTAGATAGAAATAAGAAGTTCTAGTGCTGTTTATTGTACCATGGGGTAACTGTGGATAGCAGTTGTATACTATATATTTGAAAAAGCTAGAATTAAGGATTTTGGATTTTTTCAGCATAAAGAAGTGATAAATGGGGCTGGGGATGTGGCTCAAGTGGTAGTGCGCTCACCTGGCATGCGTGCGGCCTGAGTTCGATCCTCAGCACTATATAGAAATAAAGATGTTGTGTCCACCAAAAACTAAAAAATAAATATTAAAAATTTTTAAAAATAATACAAATAATAAAAAAGAAATGATAAATGTTTGAGGAGACAGATATTTTCAACTTGCCTGGGTGTTGGGGTGCATGCATATGTTATGGTGAGATTGCAATAAATCACCAAGTCAAGCTTTTTTTTTTAATATTTTTTTAGTTGTGATGGGCCTTTATTTTACATGATATATTTTATCATATATTTCTTAGCCATTTATGTTTCTTCTTTTGAAAAGTGTCTGTTTAGTTCTTTTGCCCATTTACTAATTGAGCTATTTGGAGGGGTTTTTTTTTGTTAGTTTTCTTCTGGTGGTAAGCTTTTTGAGTTTTTTAATATATTCTGGATATTAATTCCCTGTCAGAAGAGTAGCTGGCAAAGATATTCTTCCATTTTGTAGGCTCTCTCTTCATGGTCTTAACCATTGCCTTTGCTGTGCAGAAGTTAATTTGTTACCATCCTACTTATTGATTCTTGGCTTTATTTCTTGAGCTTTAGAGGTCTTATTGAGGAAATCAGTGCCTGGGCCAATATGACAGAATCTTGACCCTATGTTTTTTGCTAGCAGTTGCAAAGTTTCTGGTCTAATTCCTAAGCTTTTAATCCACTTTGATTTGACTTTTGTACAGGATAAGAGATAGGGATCTAGTTTAATTCTCCTACATATGGATGTCCAGTTTTCCCAGCACCATTTATTTAAAAGGCTATCTTTTCTCCAACATTTATTTTTGGCACAAGGATCATACGACTATCTGTGGGTTTGTTTCTGTGTCTTCTAGTCAGTTCCTTTGTTCTATAAGTCATTGCAGTTTTTGTTACTATCTCTCTGCTTTGTTCTTCTTGCTCTGGATTGCTTTGGCTATTCTGTGTCTCTTATTCTTCCAAATGAATTTTAGGATTGTTTTATCTAGTTCTGTGAAAAATATCTGGTATTTTGATGGGAACTATATTGAATCTGTATACTGTTTTTGGTAATATGACCATTGGGACAATATTAATTCTTCCCAAGAACATGATAAATCTTTTCATTTTGTGAGGTCTTCTTCAATTTCTTCAGTTTTCTAGTGAAAAATCTTGTATAGCCTTGAGTAGATTAATTCCCAAGGATTTTTTTCCAGGTTATTGTGAATGGGATAGTTTCCCTGATTTCTTTCTCAGCAGAATCACTGTTGGAGTATAGGAAAGCTATTGATTAATGAATGTTGATCTTGTATCCTGCTACTTTGCTGAATTCATTTATCAGCTCCAGAAGCCTTCTGGTGGAGTTTTCTTGGGTCTTTTAGATATAAATCATGTTATAATTTGACTTCGTTTCCTGTTTGTATCCCTTTAATTTTCTTCTCTTGCCTGATTGCTTTGGCTAGAGATTCAAGAATTATATTGAGGGTTGGGGCTGTAGAGCTCAGTGGCAGAGTGCTTGACTAGCACATGTGAGGTACTGGATTTGACCTTTAGCACCACTTAAAAATAAATACATAAGATAAAGGTATGCTATCCATCTACAACTACAAAAAAATTAAAAATTATATTGAATGTGAGAATGGACATTCTTGTCTTGTTCCTGATTTTAGAGGAAATGCTTTCAATTTTTCCATTCAGTATGATGTTGGCTATACATTTATCATATATAGCCTTCACAATGTTGAGATAAGTACCATCTGTCCCTAGTTTATGCAGCATTTTTAACATGAATGGGTGCTAGATTTTATCAAAAGCCTTTTCTTCATCTATCAAAATGATTATATTCTTGTCCTTAATTCTGTTTATGTGGTGAATTACATTTATTTATTTGCATTTGTTGAACAATCTTGCGTCCCTGTGATAAAACCCACTTGAGCATGTGTTTTCTAATGCAGTTTGTTAACATTAAGAATTTTTGCATCTGTGTTCATCAGGGATATTGGTTTGTAATTTTTTTTCCTTGATGTATCTTTGTTTAGATTTAGTACCAGGGTTATACTAACTTCA